AAATTTTTGTTCTAAATTTTGATTTAAATATGTATATTCTATACATGGAACGTATCTGTTCCATTTTCGTTTTTTGGACCTGAAGATGGCCTGTTAATCAGGTTGAAAGCGTTTGTGTTTAAAATATATAATTCTCAGCAAAATTAAGGTGTTCTAATATATATGTTTACTTGCTGAGCACGTTTAAGGTTAATCTGTTCAATGTGGGAACAAGAGGTTTTTGATGTGAAGAATGTAATTTAATCTGAAAACAGCAGAAAATTGTGATCCTACTTATAGACAATGTCATAAGTATAATGAATACTTTATAGTATGAAAATTATTCTGAGAATGAATTTTAACCTTTTCAGAAAAACAAAGATTATGTGATGAGATCTCTGTTAATATTAGTCTTTGCTGGAGTTAACCAAGAATTGAGAACTTTCAATAATCTAATGAATTTCTGAGAACAAGCAACATATTTATCAAAAACAATCAGAATAAGGTAACCAATTTGCCTTAAATGGAGTAATTAGTAGCTAACTAGTACCAAGTATTCAAAGAGAAGTTGATAAACATCATTAATAATTACAAGGATTGAAGTTAATGATTAATTAGATTATTAAAATTCTTTGAGAAGTCAAATCATAGAATAATTTGGTCATTTTATTACTGTAATGTGATTAAAATTTCTGATAGCAGAGTGATACACTTTCTTTCTTTCTAAACTTTCTTTCTATATGAAAAAATTATATGCCACTAGAACAGGAAGTTCAGAAGGCAATTGCATTTTTCACAGTTTCAGCAAATAAATTAGGTTTTAATATGATACGTTCAAGGTTCCTATGCACCTGGAAAGTCAGGGATTTTCATTAGTATTTGGAAAAAGTCATGGAAAGATGGGAAATTTGTCAAAAATTATCAAAATGTCAGAAGTTTACCTCCTTGGCTGTCTTGTTGATTTTTTTTGTTGACAATATGCTTGACTAAGTGTAGCTGTCTGCATGCAGCAAGAAATAATGTGGTGCAATACAACATATGAAAAGGGTCAAAATATTTTCAGGATGAAAAATTTCTCTCAAGTATACACAATTTTCCCAAAAATTTACAAAGTACAAAAAATTATAAAGAATTTTGATTTAAGTGGTATTATTTATCATTTTCCATTTTAATAATTTTGATCTTTTTTTTTTTTTTACAGTTTATTACAGGTATTCCTTGATTCTACCTCGTATATAAAAATCACATTAATCAAAATACAGTATCTATGTTAAGTAAAGACAGTGGTAAAGTCATGTAAATTGAAACTTCTGCCACATGTATAAAAGAATTGCCACAATTTCACACATTAATCAAATCCCACATTAAGCAAGGGATACCTGTATTTTATAAAGTTCAAGAAATTTATTAATGGATAAATTTAATTAATATATACTTTTATACATGGATTATATGGAATTTGTTAATGAATAATAAATAAAAAATGGTTGTTTTTCTTTTTTTCAAAGCCACATAGATCTATGGTTGTGGATTAATAACAGAATAAACTACTTTAATTTAATAAAACATTTTATTTTTAGTTTTAATAATTTGGCAATTATAAAAAATATATAACTGTTAATTAGAAAAAATAACTAACTAAAAAGTTGGAGAAGCAATAGTGTATATGCATAGTAAGTCAAATGCTGTTTTATTTTGTCAATGTGTCATACTGTAAGGGATCTGAAAGTTGAGAATTTTTGTACAAAGTTGGTCAAGGAAAGTCATGGAATTTAAAACAAAAATTTAAGTAGGAACCCTATATGTTACAAATGTTTTTGGCCATTTTTCAGATGGCTATCTTCAGGCATTAGTAAAAACAAATAGAAAAAGAACTGTTGGGTCAGGTGTTTTCCACGTGTGAAAACCAAACGACCGGGGTCCAATCTGGAACCGATCAGGTTACACCTACATGTGGGCGCGCGATTCGGGGATGTCTTTTGTTCGGGTCAGTTAGACGAGCACGATGTGACCAGTGTCCAGTCCGACTGTTATACCATTTCTTTGTTATATATAAAACGGTGATCTATGATTAGAGTTTTATACACTGTAAGAACTTAACAAAAACAAAGTTAGAATGTATACAAAACTTCCAAATGAATATAAAAATTTGAGTATTCAAAATGTGTTCCAGACACATAATTCAAATAAAACACAAATTAAATTCATTACATATTAAAAATTGATAATTTTAAACTTTAGAAAGTAACAAAAGTATACAACACAACAGCAGTACATTAATGAATTGGAAATAGATTTTGCCTTAATGTATTCTGTAAATTTAAGGTTCTGGTCAATTTATCTGCATTTCTTGTCATACATTGTGAGTAATCTACAGTTTTCTCCATTATCTTTTAATTTTGCACACTAGTGTAGATGTGGCAGTCTTGGGTGATAGCAGGGTAGAGGAAAAACAATTGGAGAAAGTTACTAAATACAGTAGAGCATCGATTATTTGACCCCCCCTCCCGATCAACCGTCACATCAGTTAACTGATCACTAGGGTTTGGGTCCCGGGACGTCTCGTGTCTCGAAGTCCCGGGACTTTTTCTAAATTTAACTGTCTCGGGTCCCGGGACATTCGGGTCAAGACTCGAGACACGCTTATCAAAATTATATTTTAATAATTTTATTTTCAAAAGGTTAGCCCAGCGACGCTTCCTTTGTTCTCCGTCCTGTTTACAAATAAACAACACAGGTGGGGGTAATTTAAAGGCCGTGTGACTTTTAACCTTACTCTGTTAAATGTTTGTTAAAATATTTGCACACTGGCCACCACAGTTCACAGTCGCAAAATACGGATATTTTACTTCGAATTTGAATAAAACTGCACTTATTGCTTTTGCGGAAGATCTGTATTACAGACTTTTTGAAAATATTCCTCGTATTCAAACTCCAGATTTGGAAATAATAGACGCCGAACCCATTGCCAGTAGCTCGACAGTACACAACGAACCCGATGAGTCGTTTCAAAGTCAAGTGGTACAGGCAATCAAAAAAATCAAAGAAAATTTACCCGAAATTTCTGCAAAAAAATGAAGAGCAGCATTAAAAAATGAGTTCCAGTTATTTGAAGCAACCAGAAAACGTACTGAAAGTTTGGAACTAATTTATAAAGCTTTAAACACAATAAAACCGACACCTGTTGAAAACGAGAGTGTGTTCTCCTTGTCCAGAGGCATTATTACAAAAATCAGAAACAGATTGTCAGACAAAGCAGTAAATACTCTGATGTTTTTAAATGTCTGATTGCTAGTTCATTATATTATTTAGACTAGGCGATGATTATTATGATTACTAAGTTGATTTTACTGCCAAAAACTGAATGTATGATTATAAGAATTAAACATACAAACTGCTTAGACTTTAATTAACGTTATAAATGTTAGAATTTGATTTTATGTTCAATAAATGTTGCTTTTTTATTGATACATCTCGCCAAAAATGAACTCGATTTTAATTTTTTTTCTGAGAAGTCTCGAAGTCCCGGGACGTCCCGGGATTTTGATCGTGGATTGTCTCGTGTCCCGGGACTTTGAGAATGTCGAGACTTCCCAAACCCTACCGATCACGTTCTAGTCGGCAAATTCAAATGTCCATTGGTGATGCGGCGCTATAATATTTGGCTATGTCTTAGCTACTTTAATATTATTTTCGTTAAATTTTTGGTGTTTTAGCTGGCAACACTGGCTGGACCATGAAAGGGAGGCCAGTATTTAAACGAGGCTTAATTTTCTAATTATGAGTGGTTGTTTGTTTTGTGAGCAATAAAATTAATTTTAAAATAATTTTTAACGACACAATAGCAACGATTATTATCTATATATATAAAAATGAATGTGTGTGTCTGTCTGTCCTTCATGCGTTACCACACCGTTTACCCGATTGCCGTGAAACTTTGGGAAGTTGTTTAATATACTCCAGCGAAGGTTTGTGGCATAGTACAATTGCCATAAAACTTCGGAAAGTTTTATAATAC